AATCTTAGCCTATTTAATTTACTACAATTGTATCTAAAAAATAGAATGATAAGTGTGTTTAAAATACATACAAACATGCATATATATATATATATATATATACGTATATATACATTTGTTTTTCTGGTTTTACTGGTCATGTGCAACCAAAACTGATGAGGACATTCATACCTGGCTAGTGAAGAGGGATTGTGTTTAGTGAAAAAGCTTTTGAGGCTCTGCAAATCTTCAAGTGACAAACTCGTTAGTTGAAGGAACGAGTTGGTATTATTGTTGTTTTCTTCTTTTTCTTCTTCTTCCCCCCCATTCTTCAATACTATTACTTTCAGCTCTCGACAATGACTAACCTCAAGTTCTTCTAGTTTTGGTAATTGTCGGGGCATATTGGACGAGCCGACATTCACCAGTTTCTCACAGCTCCGGATGCTCACGTTTCTCAATTGTCGAAAAGACTCTGATGGAAGTAATTTCCTATCCCATATCTCTGTTATCATTGTTAGTCCATCAATATCCAAACTCTCCAAGGCAGGGAATGTAACCTGCAACATTCATAACATAATTGTTAAACGTTAGACTCCAAGGTCAGCGTTATAACAAGCAGTACAATGTAGCCCAATAAATTTATGTTAGTCTTAATTAGTCAATAATTGAAGTCCAATAAATTGATTTTACTATGTTCCAATTAATGCCAAAACTTAAATTGTTGGTTCCATAACAGCTAATATGATTTTGTTTTATGTAATGGAAACTATAATAGATTGGAAGTAACAAATCTTTTTGTTGCATTGGTGCAACCTTTTGTCCTCATTGTGCAATAGCTGTTGTGCACGAGTTGGTTTGATTGTTTTGACAACAAATCATCAATTGAATATATTAAGAAAATTTCAACCAACTATAAATTCACCCTTTCTCAAAATTGATGGGTTCGGCAGATTAAAAGTACAAAATGAGAGAAAATTAGGCTTCACATTATTTTCACATTTCATGATGATTTTTTCTATTTGACTTTGATAATCTATGTTTTATGATTTTATGAAAGCGAATCGTTTGTCTCCAATTGAAATTTCAACTGGACCAGACAGTTGAGATCACTTACCGATAAAAGTCATTAAACGAAGGTCTCTTACCGCTGCGAGTTTATGAAAAGATTTAACTAAACGAAGAGTTAAAATAATGGGCCAATGCATTTCATAAACTCTTACTGGTAAGAGACCTCCGTTTAATGACTGTTATCGGTAAGAGACCTTAACTGTCTGTTCTATTTGAGCTTTCAACTACATAAACGACAAATCCCTTATAAAAACACACCATTTCAGGTTTATTTAAAACCTTGAATTTTACTATTTTAATTTTTCAAGTTTTTAGATAGTAATATTCAAGCAAATGTCAAAGTATTAAATTGGAAAATATGAAAGATTCAAAATAAATACACAAATCAATACATGGCCAACAAGGGTGCCTTTCGGGCCGTGGGAGTCCACCATGGGTCACGTTTTGATGATTTAAATTTTTCATTTTGTAAAGTCCTTAGTGTATATCATCTAAAAAAAAAGATCGATCCAATAATCGTAGCCTATTTAATTTATTACAATTGGATCTGAAAAAATGAATGATAAGTGTGCTTAAAAAAAAAATTCTATAAAATAAAAACGTTCATTTTTTTTAATGACAAACAAGATAAATTGAAAAGGCTAAAATTATCAAATTGATTTAATTTTTCTTGCGGATAATATAAACGAAGAATCCTAAAAAATGCACGGTTCGAATAATTAAAAAGAGAGTAGTAGTGGGCCCACGAGCCCAAACAACACATTTGAGTCTAGATTATTGACACGAGAGAAGCCTAATCTAAGAAAAATACAAACATACATATATATATATATACGTATATATACATTTGTTTTTCTGGTTTTACTGGTCATGTGCAACCAAAACTGATGAGGACATTCATACCTGGCTAGTGAAGAGGGATTGTGTTTCAGATCCAGAGGTGAAAAAGCTGCTGAGGCTCTGTAAATCTTTAAGTGTCAAACTCGTTAATTGAAGGAACGAATTGGTATTATTGTTGTTTTCTGCTTTTCTTCTTCTTCCCCCCCATTCTTCAACACTATTACTTTCAGCTCTCGACAGTCACAAACCTCAAGTCGTTCTAGTTTCGGTAATTGTCGAGTCATATTGGACGAACCGACATTCACCAATTTCTCAAAGCTCCTGATGGTCACGTCTCTCAACTGTAGAAAAGAGTCTGATGGAAGTAATTTCCTATCCCATATCTCTGTTATCATTGTTAGTCCATCAATATCCAATGTCTCCAAGGCAGGGAATGTAACCTGCAACATTCATAACAAAATTGTTATACATTAGACTCCGAGGTCAGCATTATAACAAGCAGTACAATGTAGCCCAATAAATTTATGTTAGTCTTAATTAGTCAATAATTGAAGTCCAATAAATTGATTTTACTATGTTCCAATTAATGCCAAAACTTAAATTGTTGGTTCCATAACAGCTAATATGATTTTGTTTTATGCAATGGAAACTATAATAGATTGGAAGTAACAAATCTTTTTGTTGCATTGGTGCAACCTTTTGTCCTGATTGTGCAGTAGGTGTTATGCACGAGTTGGTTTGATTGTTTTGACAACAAATCATCAATTGAATATATTAAGAAAATTTCAACCAACTATAAATTCACCCTTTCTCAAAATTGATGGGTTCGGCAGATTAAAAGTACAAAATGAGAGAAAATTAGGCTTCACATTATTTTCACATTTCATGATGATTTTTTCTATTTGACTTTGATAATCTGTGTTCTATGATTTTATGAAAGGGAATGCTTTGTCTCCAATTGAAATTTCAACTGGACCAGATAGTTGAGATCTCTTACCGATAAAAGTCATTAAACGGAGGTCTCTTACTGCCGCGAGTTTATGAAAAGATTTAACTAAACGAAGAGTTAAAATAATGGGCCAATGCATTTCATAAACTCTTACTGGTAAGAGACCTCCGTTTAATGACTGTTATCGGTAAGAGACCTTAACTCTCTGTTCCGTTTGAACTTTCAACTACAGAAAAGACAAATCCCTTATAAAAACACACCATTTCAGGTTTATTTAAAACCTTGAATTTTACTATTTTAATTTTTCAAGTTTTTAGATAGTAATATTCAAGCAAATGTCAAAGTATTAAATTGGAAAATATGAAAGATTCAAAATAAATACACAAATCAATACATGGCCAACAAGGGTGCCTTTCGGGCCGTGGGAGTCCACCATGGGTCACGTTTTGATGATTTAAATTTTTCATTTTGTAAAGTCCTTAGTGTATATCATCTAAAAAAAAAGATCGATCCAATAATCTTAGCCTATTTAATTTATTACAATTGCATCTGAAAAAATGAATGATAAGTGTGCTTAAAAAAACAAAAAAAAAAATTCTATAAAATAAAAACCTTCATTTTTTTTAATGACAAACACGATAAATTGAAAAGGCTAAAATTATCAAATTGATTTAGGCTTTTTGCGGATGATATAAACGAAGAATCCTAAAAAATGCATGGATCGAATAATTAAAAAGAGAGTCGTAGTGGGCCCACGGGCACGAACTACACATTTGAGTCTAGATTATTGACACGAGAGAAGCCTAATCTAAGAAAAATACAAACATACATACATATATATATATATGTACGTATATATACATTTGTGTTTCTAGTTTTACTGGTCCTGTGCAACTAAAACTGATGAGGACATTCAAACCTGGCTAGTGAAGAGGGATTGTGTTTCAGATCTATAGGTGAAAAAGCTTTTGAGGCTCTGCAAATCTTCAAGTGTCAAACTCGTTAATTGAAGGAACGAATTGGTATTATTGTTGTTTTCTTCTTCTTCCCCCCCATTCTTCAATACTATTACTTTTAGCTCTCGACATTCACGAACCTCAAGTCGTTCTAGTTTCGGTAATTGTCGAGGCATATTGGACGAACCGACATTCACCAATTTCTCACAGCTCCCGATGGTCACGTCTCTCAACTATCGAAAAGAGTCTGATGGAAGTAATTTCCTATCCCATATCTCTGTTATCTTTGTTAGTCTTTTAATTTGCAATCTCTCCAAGGAAGGGAATGTAACCTGCAACATTCATAACATAATTGTTAAACATTAGACTCCACGTTCAGCATTATAACAAGCAGTACAATGTAGCCCAATAAATTTATGTTAGTCTTAATTAGTCAATGATTGAAGCCAATAAATTGATTTTACTATGTTCCAATTAATGCCAAAACTTAAATTGTTGGTTCCATAACAGCTAATATGATTTTAATTTATGTAATGGAAACTGTAATAGATCGGAAGTAACAAATCTGTTTGTTGCATTGGTGCAACCTTTTGTCCTCATTGTGCAATACGTGTTGTGCACGAGTTGGTTTGATTGTTTTGACAACAAATCATCAATTGAATATATTAAGAAAATTTCAACCAACTATAAATCCACCCTTTCTCAAAATTGATGGGTTCGGCAGATTAAAAGTACAAAATGAGAGAAAATTGGGCTTCACATTATTTTCACATTTCATGATGATTTTTTCTATTTGATTTTGATAATCTGTGTTCTATGATTTTATGAAAGGGAATCGGTTGTCCCCAATTGAAATTTCAACTGGACCAGACAGTTGAGATCTCTTACCGATAAAAGTCATTAAACGGAGGTCTCTTACCGCTGCGAGTTTATGAAAAGATTTAACTAAACGAAGAGTTAAAATAATGGGCCAATGCATTTCATAAACTCTTACTGGTAAGAGACCTCCGTTTAATGACTGTTATCGGTAAGAGACCTTAACTGTCTGTTCCGTTTGAACTTTCAACTACAGAAAAGACAAATCCCTTATAAAAACACACCATTTCAGGTTTATTTAAAACCTTGAATTTTACTATTTTAATTTTTCAAGTTTTTAGATAGTAATATTCAAGCAAATGTCAAAGTATTAAATTGGAAAATATGGAAGATTCAAAATAAATACACAAATCAATACATGGCCAACAAGGGTGCCTTTCGGGCCGTGGGAGTCCACCATGGGTAACGTTTTGATGATTTAAATTTTTCATTTTGTAAAGTCCTTAGTGTATATCATCTAACAAAAAAGATCGATCCAATAATCTTAGCTTATTTAATTTATTACAATTGCATCTGAAAAAATGAATGATAAGTGTGCTTAAAAAAACAAAAAAAAAATTCTATAAAATAAAAACGTTCATTTTTTTTAATGACAAACACGATAAATTGAAAAGGCTAAAATTATCAAATTGATTTAGGTTTTTTTGCAGATGATATAAACGAAGAATCCTAAAAAATGCATGGATCGAATAATTAAAAAGAGAGTCGTAGTGGGCCCACGGGCCGAACAACACATTTGAGTCTAGATTATTGACACGAGAGAAGCCTAATCTAAGAAAAATACAAACATACATACATATATATATATACGTATATATACATTTGTGTTTCTGGTTTTACTGGTCCTGTGCAACTAAAACTGATGAGGACATTCATACCTGGCTAGTGAAGAGGGATTGTGTTTCAGATCTATAGGTGGAAAAGCTGCTGAGGCTCTGCAAATCTTCAAGTGTCAAACTCGTTAATTGAAGGAACGAATTAGTATTATTGTTGTTTTCTTCTTCTTCCCCCCCATTCTTCAATACTATTACTTTCAGCTCTCGACATTCACGAACCTCAAGTCGTTCTAGTTTCGGTAATTGTCGAGGCATATTGGACGAACCGACATTCACCAATTTCTCACAGCTCCCGATGGTCACGTCTCTCAACTGTCGAAAAGAGTCTGATGGAAGTAATTTCCTATCCCATATCTCTGTTATCATTGTTAGTCCATCAATATCCAAACCTGCAACATTCATAACATAATTGTTAAACATTAGACTCCAAGGTCAGCATTATAACAAGCAGTACAATGTAGCCCAATAAATTTATGTTAGTCTTAATTAGTCAATAATTGAAGTCCAATAAATTGATTTTACTATGTTCCAATTAATGCCAAAACTTAAATTGTTGGTTCCATAACAGCTAATATGATTTTGTTTTATGTAATGGAAACTATAATAGATTGGAAGTAACAAATCTTTTTGTCGCATTGGTGCAATCTTTTGTCCTCAATGTGAAATAGGTGTTGTGCACGAGTTGGTTTGATTGTTTTGACAACAAATCATCAATTGAATATATTAAGAAAATTTCAACCAACAATATATCCACCCTTTCTCAAAATTGATGGGTTCGGCAGATTAAAAGTACAAAATGAGAGAAAATCAGGCTTCACATTATTTTCACATTTCATGATGATTTTTTCTATTTGACTTTGATAATCTATGTTCTATGATTTTATGAAAGGGAATCGGTTGTCCCCTATTGAAATTTCAACTGGACCAGACAGTTGAGATCTCTTACCGATAAAAGTCCTTAAACAGAGGTCTCTTACCGCTGCGAGTTTATGAAAAGATTTAACTAAACGAAGAGTTAAAATAATGGGCCAATGCATTTCATAAACTCTTACTGGTAAGAGACCTCCGTTTAATGACTGTTATCGGTAAGAGACCTTAACTCTCTGTTCCGTTTGAACTTTCAACTGCAGAAAAGACAAATCCCTTATAAAAACACACCATTTCAGGTTTATTTAAAACCTTGAATTTTACTATTTTAATTTTTCAAGTTTTTAGATAGTAATATTCAAGCAAATGTCAAAGTATTAAATTGGAAAATATGGAAGATTCAAAATAAATACACAAATCAATACATGGCCAACAAGGGTGCCTTTCGGGCCGTGGGAGTCCACCATGGGTAACGTTTTGATGATTTAAATTTTTCATTTTGTAAAGTCCTTAGTGTATATCATCTAAAAAAAAAGATCGATCCAATAATCTTAGCCTATTTAATTTATTTCAATTGCATCTGAAAAAATGAATGATAAGTGTGCTTAAAAAAACAAAAAAAAAATCTATAAAATAAAAACGTTCATTTTTTTTAATGACAAACACGATAAATTGAAAAGGCTAAAATTATCAAATTGATTTAGGTTTTTTTGCGGATGATATAAACGAAGAATCCTAAAAAATGCATGGATCGAATAATTAAAAAGAGAGTCGTAGTGGGCCCACGGGCCCGAACAACACATTTGAGTCTAGATTATTGACACGAGAGAAGCCTAATCTAAGAAAAATACAAACATACATACATATATATATATATACACGTATATATACATTTGTGTTTCTGGTTTTACTGGTCCTGTGCAACTAAAACTGATGAGGACATTCATACCTGGCTAGTGAAGAGGGATTGTGTTTCTGATCTATAGGTGAAAAAGCTTTTGAGGCTCTGCAAATCTTCAAGTATCAAACTCGTTAATTGAAGGAACGAATTGGTATTATAGTTGTTTTCTTCTTCTTCCCCCCCATTCTTCAATACTATTACTTTCAGCTCTCGACAATGACTAACCTCAAGTCGTTCTAGTTTCGGTAATTGTCGAGGCATATTGGACGAACCGACATTCACCAATTTCTCACAGCTCCCGATGGTCACGTCTCTCAACTGTCGAAAAGAGTCTGATGGAAGTAATTTCCTATCCCATATCTCTGTTATCATTGTTAGTCCATCAATATCCAATGTCTCCAAGGCAGGGAATGTAACCTGCAACATTCATGACAAAATTGTTAAACATTAGACTCCGAGGTCAGCATTATAACAAGCAGTACAATGTAGCCCAATAAATTTATGTTAGTCTTAATTAGTCAATAATTGAAGTCCAATAAATTGATTTTACTATGTTCCAATTAATGCCAAAACTTAAATTGTTGGTTCCATAACGGCTAATATGATTTTGTTTTATGTATTGGAAACTATAATAGATTGGAAGTAACAAATCTTTTTGTTGCAGTGGTGCAACCTTTTGTCCTCATATTGCAATAGGTGTTCTGCACGAGTTGGTGTGATTGTTTTGACAACAAATCATCAATTGAATATATTAAGAAAATTTCAACCAACTATATATCCACCCTTTCTCAAAATTGATGGGTTCGGCAGATTAAAAGTACAAAATGAGAGAAAATTAGGCTTCACATTATTTTCACATTTCATCGTCATTTTTTCTATTTGACTTTGATAATCTGTGTTCTATGATTTTATGAAAGGGAATCTCTTGTCTCCAATTGAAATTTCAATTGGACCATACAGTTGAGATCTCTTACCTGTAAAAGTCATGAAACAGAGATCTCTTACCGCTGCAAGTTTGTGAAAAGATTTAACTGAACGAAGAGTTAAAATAATGGGCCAATGCATTTCATAAACTCTTACTGGTAAAGGAGCTCCGTTTAATGACTGTTATCGGTAAGAGACCTTAACTGTCTGTTCCCTTTGAACTTTCAACTACAAAAAAGACAAATTCCTTATAAAAACACATCATTTTAGGTTTACTTAAAATACAGATTGCCTATGTAATTTTAGAAATTACATCTTGCACTTTTAAGTTTCCAGTTGTATAACAAATCACTTATTTCATTAATAAAATTATCAAGTCAATTAATATTTTTAATAATGTCATAAATATATTTCAATTTACTATTCAAGTAATTTTATTATTACATAAGAGAGTAATTAAATTTTTTTTGTTCTATTAATTATGTTAAACAAGAAATTCTAACAATGGGGTATTTATAATTTCTGGAACCATAAATAGTAATTTATGTTTTAAGAAATATTAAGGAGTGTATTTATAATTTACCTTAATTTTAAATAGTGAAAATCATATGATGCGTGCAAGTATTTGACCTATGGAAAAGAAAAAAAATAAAAATTAATCATCACGTGCCTTTGCTAGTATGGCTTTATTGTTTAGGTTTTTCAGCTCATTTAAGTCAATTCCGATTCTATTTTTATTTTATTTTTTTGATCAACCCAAAAAACTTCATTGATGATAAAAAAATGTACAAGCATAAATATTACATCAACATAGATGAAGGAGTGCAAACAGTATCACAAAAGACCATCACCATCCCAACTAAGTTGGCACCGTGAGGCCTTACCGATCATATGCTAGCACAGCCCGAAGTTGGTGAGAGACCAACTAGCAAACAGAGACAACACCAAAAAAAAACAGCAGCAGAACAGAGTTTCTCTGCCTCAAGCCAACTAGGCTCATCCCAGCTCAAGGCAATAATGCTCCTCCAAAGCACAACCTGATCTGACTTATATTATAAATGAAATCATTGATTGTGAAATTAAAATCCTTCTGGTGTGGGTTCAACCACAGAGCGATCCTAGTCTTGATCAACTCACACAACTCAAACCAGTTTGGGTTAGCTGCCTTGAAGACGCACTCATTTCTAAGTTGCCTAATTGATCTTCAGTATGGTGTGAATGGAATAATTTGCACTATTATGAGACTCTTGTAGAATTTTTATAGATTGAAATAGAAAATCATGGTCGCAAGATTACTCGGCCTTAAGTATGTAGAAGATTAAACAAAAAATGAGATACAGATGTATCATAAAAGGTAGGTCTCACATCATGTGGACCTCTTATGTTCAAGGATGAATCTAGGATTATCATTATAGGGGTGCAAAAATATACTTGGAGGTGTAAATTATTATTTTAATTATTTTAGATTTTCTAGCATAGTATATAATATTTTTCAGATTTTTGGGGGGTGCGGTCGCCTCCCTCCGCATCCCGCTAGATCCATCCCAGGGACCTTACCCCATGTGAGATATCTATATTATATTATGTGTTTAGTTTTTGTGTTTTTCATATTGATATAATAAGTAAAACACTAAAGTAAAATCGATTGAGCTTTAAGCTGTTATTGATTAATTGCTAGTAACAACTCAAGCCAGCATGCATAATCCATCAATTAATGTAGTTTTTAAATTGGATCGATGGTTGGGATTGAACTTCCAAGAAGTTTCGTAAGATGTTTTGGGCAGGGGCAAGTAACATTTTCATAATGGCGACGTTGTGGGAGTTAATCTCTGACCTCCTCTAATTGGCCGTGTTATCAATTCAAAAGTCTAAATCTGTGGGAGGACACAAAAAAACTTAGTGTATCTATCA